TATTTTTATACTCAGGGAGGGGCAGGGAAAAACTAACGTTATCTCCAGACTGGATCCAAAGCCCCATTTGCTGATTTTGCTGACATAGGGCCTTTAGGACAACAGCTTCAACCACTCTGTTAGCAAAGCAGTGCACATCCGTAGAGTCATCGGTGGGCTTATTTATACATGTCCTGCCCAAGCGCCCAGTTCCCAGTGCCAGGCATGACTGGACAGTGACTCAGCAGCAGGAAATGGTGTTGATCCTCCTCAGTTCATATCGGGGGTAACACTGCTCTCTGCTTTTTGACAGTCACCAGGGCACTACAACAACCTTACGATAAAGACACTGCCCACCCTCCATCCCTGCCATGTGGAGCATTAGATAGCCACTCTCCCTCCATTCCTTCCCCTCTTTCCACAGAGGTAGTTTTGGAGAAGTATAAACCTAACAGCAAACTTCACTGTTTTTACCTAACCCAGCTAAGAAAACTAAATTCAGCAGGAAAGCACAGAGGTTTATTCTAAGTGCTCCCTGTTTTCTGCTTCCAGCAAAAGATTTTGCTAGGCTTTACTTTACTTGATCCCTCTCACTCTGCGTGAGATATAGAATCGTATAATCATAGAATAGTTAGGGTTGGAAAGGACCTTAAGATCATCAAGTTCCAACCCCCCTGCCATGGGCAGGGACACCTAACACTAACCCATGTCACCCAAGGCCTCGTCCAATCTGGCCTTGAACACTGCCAGGGATGGAGCATTCACAGCTTCCTTGGGAAACCCATTCCACTGCCTCACCACCCTCACAGTAAAGAACTTCCTCCTTATATCCAATCTAAACTTCCCCTGTTTAAGTTTGAACCCATTACCCCTTGTCCTATCACTACAGTCCCTAATGAAGAGTCCCTCCTCAGCATCCCTATAGGCCCCCTTCAGATACTGGAAGGCTGCTATGAGGTCTCCAAGCAGCCTTCTCTTCTCCAGGCTGAGCAGCCCCAACTTTCTCAGCCCATCTTCATGCAGGAGGTGCTCCAGTCCCCTGATCATCCTCGTGGCCCTCCTCTGGACTTGTTCCAACAGTTCCATGTCCTTTTTATGTTGAGGACACCAGAACTGCACACAATACTCCAAGTGAGGTCTCACAAGAGCAGAGTAGAGGGGCAGGATCACAGGCAGGTACCCACAGTTATTCAGGACACAGAAATCTTCCAACATCTTCTCCAAACCCAGGCCCCCATGCGGATTTGCCTCTGGGGCAGAAAAACTTCACCCTTGTCTTTTTGCAAGCGAAACTCCAATCCCATACAAGTAACCTACACCTGGTGGTCTCCGGCCTGTGTGAGCCATCTTCAAGGGTAGCAGTGACAGGCATGGATTAAAGCCCACTGGAGAATGTCCATGTGTTCTGCCACTCAAAGGTGAGGATATTTGTGTTGCCTGGCCTTCTTCTCCCTCCCAGTGGAAAGGCACTAGCAGCCACAATGCTCAGCCTGGGTTTTTGAAGTCAGACTACTGTCTCCCCTGCTTGGTACCACGGCAGTGCTCGCCGTTAGGCTACAGCCCTAAAACAACCGGCCAACGCATGAATTTGGGCAGAGTTTGTAAGGGTGCCCCCTCAGCCGATCCCCTGAGGGCTGGTCAGGCCCGAGCTGTGATCCCGCTTGCGCGGCCGCCGCCTGTCACCCACGGGCCGGCCGCAAGGCGGGAGCTGCGGCGCCATCTTGGACGGGGGACACGGGGATGGAACAGTGTGGCCCGTGGGGCAAGAGTGTGTGGCCGGAGCAGGGCGGTGAGAAGGGGAAAGGAGCTGCCGTGCTGCACAGCCACACACTGCCGGCAGAGAGAAGGGCACAGCAGCTGCCATAAGCAGCCGTCTGCCCCCTCCGATCCGCAGCGGGACACCGCTGGCTGAGGGACTTCTGGCAGCAGATCTACTGCCCGTCAGTGTCTTGCTCTTGTGTGGCTGCTCTCAGAGGACACACTTTTCCCATCTCCCGAAGACCTGACCAAAGAGAGCACTGTGACTGAAGTGCTTGGCTGAAGATGAAGCCAGGGAAAAGTGGTGGTGATGGGGACAGAGTTTTGTGCACTCATACTAGTTCTGTGAAAACTATTACATTTTTGTATCACTCAGGCCTAAATCATCCGGGCCTCCTAAGCTCCAATATCTGTGCATGGCTCTCCAAAGCCACTCCTGTGGCCTAAGAGATGGGCACAAGTGTGGGTACCCCGTGGAGGTCACATGCAGGAGCAGGCTGTGCTCCCTGTTGTCTCCAAGCAAGTGTGTGGATGCTCCTCCAGGAGAGCTCTGTGGCACCTCTGGTATCCAGGATCTGCAGTATCCAGCAGGCTTTTAAGTGCGACAATGCCAGAAACCATGTGTAAGGAAAGACTTTGTCAATGGAGGGCATTTCTTTCCACTGCTTGCGCCTAACAGCAGCTTTCATTTGTTGTGAGGAAAAAGTTGTTTTGCTGGAGCATCAGCATCTGCATGAGATTCAAGGTAGCTGATGAGCTGAGCTCCCTAGTGTCAGTACAATGAAGACAGGAAGAACTGAAGAAGTGGAATAGCTAAAAAGCAAAAGTTACTCAGGAAACTAATTCTCCAAAATATACTCCTTAGCATTTCTCTTCAGTTTTTCAGGACTCTGAAAAGTGCTTGGGGGCAGGGGGAAGCGGCACAGAGAAGCAATAGATACATTGTTAATCCATCCATGTAGACTTCTGGTCCTAAAGAGCAAAGTAAAAAAACCCCAGAGACAAGTGAAATTAGAACCCAACTCCAGTGAAATGGAGAAGCATTGTAGGGGGCAGAGAGGAAAAGGGGAGGGAAGCAGAGGAAATAAGAAACTCAAGAGCACAGAAATATCTATAAAAGCAAAGAGTTAAAAGGGAAGGGGTAAATTACTATCCCACAGAAAAGGTAAAGGATTATTTTAACATCTGGAGTATTTTTATACAGTTTCTTCCTAATCAAAAGCCATGTGGCTGACAGCTGAAAATGCAGTATAGTTGTGGTATCATATTATTTTACAGGTTATCTCAAAACCCACTTCTCTAGTGTCACTAACCTTTGGATATGTTTGTCTCCTACATTCCTCCCAAGGGATGGACAAAGCAGGCTTGGGAACGGATGAACAAAAATATACAGGTGAAAGAGCATACGTAAAGTGATTCTGCAAATCTAATTTCCATGCATTTAAATGCTCTTCATGAGATACAGCTTTCTTCTTGTTTATTTTTAAAAAACTATAACACTATTTTGTCAAATACTAATTAATAAGATAATAGCATAATAATAATTAAGAAGAATTCTGTGAGCATATTTTGACAATATATACTCAAATAATATCCTCTACTACTTTGTACAAAGTATATAACAAAACATATCGGCTTTTCTATAATGTCACAGAATTCTTACTTGCAATCTAGAAAGTAAATGCCTGCTTATCTTCAGCTGAACCTATGCCTATTAAATGTAAAGGTCACTTGAAGAGCTGTATGGTTTAACTGTAGGAGAGGGTTTCTCCTTTCACAGACTGAGAATTGGCTGAGAATATGGAACAATAACTCCACATTCCTCAGTAAGTGAATGTACATTTAGCCTCATCCCAGTCTGAAGTGACCATACGTAATTTCCATTATGTGATCCTCTGATTATGATTATCATAAGTTTCTACTTAAAATGATATCAAACATATTTAATTAATTCTGTGTAAGAAGGAACAAAAAAGGGCTGCTGCGCAGGTTGAAGAGCCCAGATGTCTTCTACCTGACATTTCTCTCACAAACCATCATCCCTACCCTACCCAGAAGGACAACAACCAACCAACTAAAGCACCAACCATCATCTCTACCCTACCCAGAAGGACAACAACCAACCAACTAAAGGATCAACCATCATCTCTACCCTACCCAGAAGGACAACAACCAACCAACTAAATCTCTAAAGCCTCAGTCATGGACCAGATATGCTGACCAGATATATGTGAACAAATGTGGATGAAGGCAGTTTTAATATCAATAGTGGCAAAGCCCTAAATGCTCAGCAAATGTGTGCTCAGCTTACTCATATTTAAAGAGTGTAAACAGGGTTTCAGGTATCAAATCTTAGGGATGATGTTTTGGAAATTGCAGCTCTAGCCAGTTCCCTGCATGATGATGCATAAAAGGGTTCAGTGCTTTCCCTTCAATCTGGCAGGTGAATGGATTATGCCATGGTACACTGTTCTGGGCTGCAACAGCCCGTGGCAGCATTGCATGAGATGGGTGCTGAGCTCATCCATGAGTGGAAAAAAAATTATTTGCAGTCATAAATCTCTAACTACTTATCAGTGCCATCAGCACGGTCATTGTGAACTCCTTAAAACTTTATATAGTGTGATATATACTTATGTTTTATTATATCCTTTCAGGAGACAGTATTTTCTTCTTGGGTTCACTGACAATAAAGCTCCACAAAGATGAACTGCATTGTGCTGGTAAAAGTAGAGAGGAGCAGTAGCTCTGGCTTAGCTCCACCATCAGCTCTGCATAATTAAGTAACATTTTTATTTGTTCTTTTCACTCCATACTGTGGCAATTTTGAGCAAGCAGATCCAAACATGTGCTTTCAACGCATGAATTAAGGACAGTGAGGAGGCAACTCAGTCATAACTCAAGGGAATGTTCGTCACCTATAAAATCGATGTCAGAAGATAAAAATAAAAAGTAATAAAGTAAATTAAATATATAATAATGGAAATAATAGATGTCAGCATTGCAAACAAAACAAGGAAGACGCTGCTTTACCATAAATCTAGTGTGAAGCAAAGATCACAAAGATTGGCTGTGGATTTTGAACAGCAGTCTAAGTAAGAGGCATAGAGCAAGCAACTTAAATAGGTTAGTGTTGAAGTAAACAATAACATAGTTACTCCTTGATTTTTCAAGCGGGTGAAGTGTTAGATAATAATTTGTGATGTTAGCACACCTCTGAAACGTTTATAATGTTGTCATCAGCTTTTCATTAGGAAATCATATCACCTTATAAGAGTGTAACGAGTTTACAATGTCTGATTTTTCCCATTTCCACATTCCCTGCATACCAAATGGAACAATAAACACAAAGAAGCTCCAGTGTTGATTAACTGTCATCAAAATATGCCACCAGCTATTTGGGGACTCAGGAAGTTTTTTGCTTTACATCCTGAAGTCTGTAGAGCCCAACATGCTCTCTGATCTTAGTATTTTAGAAACTTCCAGAGAACACATTGTCTTTATGCTGCAGGAACCAGCCTACAGCATGCTCAAGAGTGAGCTGGCTTTCTGAAATACTCTGCCAACTCAGTGTGTGACAGCACAGGTAGATCTCCGTGTGTGCCTTCCTCTGTATATATGTGTGCATGCATAATATGTGCTTATAAATATGTTCTAAGTGTTAGAGAAAACAAAATGATAGCAGCTGGTAGGAGATGGCAGTTTTATAGCCACTTGCCAATTTTTCCGTAGTTTATTACTGAGCATTTTAGAACAGAGATCTTGCCAGTAAGTGCCAGTTCTTTTTGTTCACTTCAGTTTAATAGCTTAATAATGCATAATTGGAGTTCTTGGGTACTGGTAGTGAAAGGACACTATGCTCCATTAAGTTCAGGATATTTATTTTGAGAAAATGAGTGAGAGCACAATTTTATGGGAGCACTAATAGAGTTAAATGGGTTTCAAAAGCCTTTTACCATTAAGGAATAAGACTCCACTATGGCCACATGCTCAGCTCTCGGAATGAGCACAGGATGCAGTCTGTCACTCATTCTTCATTAAAGAAATTCTGTGGATCTTGCTGGGAGTGTTCTTGATTCATTGACCTATGTATGAGATCAGACACAGACCTCTTAGGTTTAAAATGTGCAGCACTCCTCACATAAAAGATACATGGCCTTGAAGCAAGTTAATTTAGCATTATATTGATGATTTGTAAGGCTATCCATAAGAAGTACCCCCTAGACATTTTGTTGTTGTCTGATTCATCCACACAGAGGTATGTTGGTCTCAGGGTGTTTTTAAAGTTCTTTCGTTGACTGATGGATTCTGTGTTCAAACTTCCTGTACCTCTCTTCTACAGCTTCTATGTGATGGATTGTAATATAACGTAACACCCTTTCTGCTGCTTCCTCTGGACTTGGCACCATGATTCGGTGCCTACTGGGCTAGAGAGATACTTATGTGGCATGACTGGCCTTTGGAGTTTGTTCAGCATTTTCCATATTTGTGGAGCACCACACCCTTCCCACACTTACGCCTTCTTAGTTCTTGAATATTCAACATAAATACCTATTCAGCAGTGAACAGTACAGGAGACATTCTTCCCTAACTTTTGATTTCTGATTAGTGTTTACTTTAGGGGTGCAACATCTCAACCTTCTCAGACTCGCCTTCAGCTTTGGTGTTAGAAAACAGTATTGCTAAGAATAGGAAGAGAACATCTGGTCCAAGACATTTGACACATGCAGTACGTCCAGTGTAGTGTTGTAGAAGGCTTGCCTATGTTTCCTTCATGTCACTGGAGGGAAAGGAAAGTTGGGGTATTTTCTATTGCAAAAGCACAGGAACTTTATTCCCTTCTGGTCAGGTTGGCTTATCATTTCTCTCCCCAACATCCCTCAGTCTTATTAGATCTTTTGATCATCCCTTATTCACCTTCCCACTTGATAAACATGTACCCGCTGTTGAGGAGGTGGGATTTTTCCCCCCATATGCCTAGTATAAATGCCTAAATATATTCCAGACTGTCTTGCTTCAACATAGGTAAGTTCCTTCATTGCTACTAGTGCAAGTTCTTTGGAAAATCTACCCATTTTGTACCCAAATCACTCATGTCTAAATAAGAAACAGATAAAATTCTTGAGCCAACATGACGAGGTGATGCTTGGCATATAAACAAGAAAACTATAAAACATGTAAACTATACTAGAAATAAGTAAAAGATTTCACATTTCAGTTTTTAACAAATCTTAGTTTCACTTGTCACATGCATTTGGAAAACTGTCCAGTGCAATATTTTCCTTTTCAATTTAATTGACTGCTTTTCTTTTTCCAATCCCACTCCCGTAAATATGGCAATATGAGTTATCTGTGGATGATTCATTTATCTTGCTGACAGCTAGTCTGTCCAATGAATTTGAAACAATCACAGCCCGTGATATCTAATTATACTTCTCTTTTTGCTATGTTTTAGAGGAAAATAAGGTCTTAATCAGCAATGATGCATATTTAAAATATGTTTTAAATATATTTGAGGGCTTTCACTTGAGTTAAAATATATTTTCATTTTCTAAACATTCTGAAGATACATGGTTTTCTGCAGTTGTAATGTTCTATTGAACGTCAGAGCTATGACAGTAATATAAATATTAAATGTTTTATTTCTGGTTATTTCTGTTGCTAGCAGCAGTTTCTCCATATGCAATGATGCTTGTATTTGAGCAACACAGATTACCTCAAGCAGCTAAGGGTTCACTCCATACACGCACTTTTCATGAAGTGTGGTTTGCATCATTCTCCAGTCAGGACCTTTGAGCCCTTTCACCTATTGCGACTGTTGACATGGAATCAACCTCTGTCATACCCATCTCTGATGACTGTAAAGGTAGTGGTGCTAAACTAACCACAGTTCCTGAGGACGGATGGGAAGCAGAATTTGAATCTGCATTCCATAACAGTTCCAACAGTAGAGAAAGTCCTAAATAGCTTCTTTCATCACCAGCCATACTGGCGACAGGGATGTGACTCCTTGTTCACAAGTATGCTTCTGTTGTGAGAACCCTTATATATTCAAGGGCTGCCACTGAGAAGCAGGATGTACAAGCTTCTATATGAAGATACTCAGTAGAAACAAGACATGTTGCTGAACTCAAGTGCAAAAGGAAGGATCTGCTCCTCAGAAGCTCATACTTCACTAGAAGGTGACCCACACAGAGCAACACTTTGGTGAGTACTTGCTAAAGAAGAAGGTTCTGACATCCCTGTGAACTCTACTACTTTTAAGTCCTACTACAGCTTTTTGCACTGATTAAACTAATCACATATTGGCTCTCTTCTAGCTGAGACCCAAGAACAGTATAATTTTGCTTTGTTTTGTTCCACATCCATATGCATTAAGTCCTACAAAATCTTACTTTTGCCAGCTGGCAAAAAGCCGTAAACTTATTGTTTTACTGTGCCTCTGGTCTTTGCTGACAGCAAGTTCATTGCGCCTTTGTATGTACCATTGTCATTTTTGCCATCAGGGCTGATGAGCTGCAGGGTGCCTGACAGCCGGCTGTTGCAAAGCGATGTGGTGCATCTGACTTAGAGCTTTAAACTGGAGAGAAGCAGTAGGCAGGCAATGATGCCTAGTCCTGCTCACTGTAAATAAAGGAAGAGGTGTAAAAGTTATTAGTAAGGCACTTGAAAGCTCTTGCTCTTTTTTTTGCATGCAGCTAGTTTTCTCGATGTCAACTTCATACAGAGTTCTCTGTGGCTGGTTTTCGTTCAGGTCACTAACACAAAAATTTTCACCCACTAGTGGGTAAAGCAGTACAAACTGTATGATAATCCAATGGAAGGAAAACTGGAGAAAAATCAGAACATTGTCTCAAAACTGCATATGGTTTAAACTTAATAAAGCACCAAGTGTCAGCTAAATGCTTTGTGGTTACTAACAGCTTAGAAATTGAAGGCTAAGAGCCATGAAGTTATCAAAATTCACAGTTATGTTTTACATAGCTGCTAAACCTCAAAATAATTAGTATTGAATACCTCTGCTAATCAATCTAAAGCAGATGTTGGAAGTGAGAAACTAAGTCATGTAATCCTGGATGCCAAAAGTTTATCCAAAAGTCCTATTTATGGCACACCATTGTTTTGTTATGGGGTTTTTTTTTTAACTTCAATAATTGAAAGATGTGGTTTAGAACCATAACAGACAAACCCACAGTTTAGTAACTATTCTGGGGGTCTCAGCATACATATGAGCATGCCTATTTGAAGGATTTCTGGCTCTCATACACGTAACTGTTGCTCATTTTGGCTAAAAGACACTTAAAAGCAAATACAAAATTGAACTGCAAGGGTCTTATAATTAGTCATGTTATAACTTACATTGCAACATATTCTGAGAACATGTTGGTTGGCAGGGTTATGGGATACAGTCACAGAATGAGCCCTGAAAGGGATTTGATTAGGGGAGAACAGGCCTAGCTCTGGGAAAGTGTTTGTTCACTTGCTTCAACCTTACTCTAGTCACAAGAGTCCTTACAGGATTTTCTGTACAGGATCAGATTCTTCCAGGATCATTTCCAAAGTTTGGGCTGAATATGTTAAAGAAAGAGTTTCAGTGGTTTTGCTGGCTTTTGGAGCTGAACATGGCTTTTAAAAATAGCTGCAGCTCAGTTAAAAGGATAATTTCTTCAAGGTCTAAGTACACTGTCATTTAAATGCAACTCGTAAATAGTACCTGCAAAAACACCATCTGACAACTTTCACAGTATTGATGCAGTTAAGCCTTCATGAAACTTGGGGTAAAAAAAGATGGAAGCTAACTCCTGCCATAAAGTAAAGAGGATAGAAATGGACAGAAAATTGCATTTCTTTGCAAAGTTTCATAAAGCAACAAACAGGGTTCATTGGAACAGTAGGGCTAGCAAGTTCTCTTGACAGTAAGTTAATAAATATACACTTAAAAGTAATTCAAATAAAGAGTTCATTAGCAACAATAAGTAAATTCCAGCCTCTTCTTTCTCTCTGTCTCACAAATCAGGAGTGCAGTTTGAGAGGGAAAGGCTTGAAATGCTGACTCAAATAATTTGCTTGTACTGAAATTTTTGGAGCCTGAAATACAGGTCCTGAACTTTTTCTTGTGTGCAGCTATTTTTATACATGGATATCATCTTTGTCTAAGCTGATATCCATGATTTGTTCTACTTCAGCATAAATGAAAATACACAGAAGGAAAAATCCAGTTGCCTGTAGATTCTTTGCCCCATGATCCTTTCTAACAGTACAATTAAAAAACAGTGGTGAGTTTCTTGAAGTTTTATAGAAAAATCATGCAGAGAAAAAGTAACCCTGTCTTCTCACACCTCAGGCTTTCTGGTGCCACAAGCTGCATAACAAAATCTTCATGTAGACAGGAGCTATGTAGACAGTAGTCACTTCCTCGTTTTGCCTCACTTTTTTGGTCTCCTCAGCCCAGGAGACCCAGCCTAACCCCAGTGCCTCCAAGCTGTACCCCAGCTCTGTGCTGTCAGGCAAAAGTGGCAGCATTTGTGCACAGGGAGCCCAAAGCTGCTCCCTTGGGAAGCAGCACTGGCTGGACCCTGTCAGGGCTCTCTTTGCTCCTGTCCCCATTGCTCTGCATGGTGGACTGCTGCTGCTCTCCAGTCAGCTGTCCAGAGACCCTGAAAACATACTGAGGGTGCCCATTTATTGACACGTCATGTCAGAAAACATATATAGCTTTCCTCTTCACTGTTGAATCTGACCCACCATATTCATAGAATGGTTTGAGTTGGAAAGGACGTTAAGGTCATGCAATTCCAACCCCGTGCCATGGGCAGGGACACCTCACATTAGACCACATCACCCAAGGCTCTGTCCAACCTGGTCTTGAATCTATATATTTTTATATGTGCATGACAATGAGCAGAAAACCCAGCCAACAAAAAAATCTGTGTAGAAAGCTGAGAGAGGATGAGAATAACTGTAGGTGTGAAGGCAACAGCATGAGGAATATGGCTCTTCCATAAGGCTGCGTCACAGAAGCAGCTGAGAAACATAGGAAGTAGGGGGCAATTGCAAGCATTTTGAAAGTTTTGAGAAATAGGTA